ACATTTTTTACCAGTATAATAATCATTATAATATAAAACATGACTACTTATAAATGTTTTACTGTAAAAATCGCGCATATTAAAATGTGTGCAGACATGGAGGACAGTAGCATCACCTGAAAGCTGGGTAGGAGGCAGATGTCTTTAACGTGTTGTTTGGATTGAGTTGAGCTAATAATGTCATGACGGTACTTAGGGAGGCTGTTCTTCAGAGGAGCTGCTCTCACCCCTTGTCCAAATACCCACACTTGCGGTCTGGGCCACTTGAGAGCGCGTGCGCGCGACAGGAAGTAAATGCGCAAGACTGTCCCAGATCTTAAAAACGCCAGAGCGCAGTCCCCTTAACTTTTTACAACACTACAAGTGTGTCCCATCAGGTAATGAAAAGTTCGACACACACTTGTGGTCTTCATCCTCACTTGAACACTTGGACCAAATACAGGAAATACGTCATATAAGTAGTCAAGTGGTCAAGTGCAAAGACCGCAAGTGTGGGTATTTGGACAAGGCTTCAGTCTGGGCTCCTCCACACACACACCCACGCACGTGATATGTTCGTGTTTTTCCCAAGCAGGTCCTTCTTTTTTTCTTGTGCACTTACAGAATGTGTGCTTATGGAGCGTCTGGGGCATTTTTGACTTTTACGTTACTTTTGCATTTTCTTTGTGTTCACTCAATAAATCCTCGGTTTCCAACCGCATCCAAAGGCATGAAAGTGACCAAGACTGTTCCTGCTGCTGATGGCCACAGGAGAGCCAAATACGGCAAAAGTATTCTGTCAGCATCACCGTTATCAGGAGACGTGCAGTCACAGCGGGCGATCAAGGATGCAATTGAACCTCATGATTACATGATCTCCATCTACAAGACCTTTTCCTCGGCTGAGAAACTGGGACTGAACGCGACTTTTTTCCGCTCGTCAAAAGCAGCAAACACCATAACGAGTTTCGTGGACGATGGTCAAGGTTAGTTATTTCTTTATTATTTAATTTCGGATTTAACATTCTTTGTTTGCTCCGAGATTGTTTCCCTTTTCAACTAGAGTCAGAATTACAGTACAGGTGCGTTTGAGATGGAAAAATACTGTTTCTTATTAGACAATGTACGACAAAAATATTTTAGGAATGAATGGGTGAAGTGTCATAACGCTAGAGGGACTGGGAACAATCCTAATTAAATAATATTAAATCATAAAAAAAGCAAGTCCAGAAAGAAAGAGTAAACAAATTTCAATACCAGACATTGAAAGAAACAGTCTAGAATTAATGTTTTTTTAATTTGTTTAACTTTTCATTCTTTTTAATCTAAAATAAAAACAAATAAAGCAATCAATCAAGAATGAAGAAAAGAAATTTCAATAAGATATCTTAGTTGATTGAAACATTCTTCTTCTGCATTCACGTTTAATATGCTTCTCTAAACTGTCTAAATACTATACAGCCACTGTCACTAAACATTTGTGCTCTTTGTTCCAGATGACCTTTCAAACTCCCCACTGTGGAGACAGAAATACTTATTCGATGTATCGACTCTTTCTGAGAATGTGGAGCTCTTGGGTGCTGAACTGAGGATATACACAAAGATCTCCGGAAGCTTCCGAGCGTCTGAGACGGGCCCAGTGGAGATACAGTTGCTCTCCTGCCAGTCGCACGCCGTCCTTGATTCCAAAACCTTGGATCTGGAGGATGCGCATAAACCAAAATGGGAGGTTTTTGACGTATGGGAGATTTTTAAGGAACGTCACCTGCACTCCCATGGGACGCGCTTCTGTTTAGAGCTCAAGGCGACGCTCGATAATCCTGAGAGGGAAATCGACTTGCAATATCTTGGATTTCACAGACATGGCCGCCCGCAACTAATGAAAGCCATATTGGTTGTTTTCACAAGGTCAAAAAAGAGACAAAGCCTTTTCTACGAAAAGAGGGAGAAGATTAAACTGTGGGGTCTGGATAGTTTTGGCAAGGAGAAAGGACCTCACTCAAAGTCTCGACGGAGAAGACGGACCACTTTACCCAGCCGCCATGGCAAGAGGCACGGCAAAAAGTCCAAATCTAGGTGCAGCAAAAAACCCTTGCATGTGAACTTCAGGGAGTTGGGTTGGGACGACTGGATCATTGTTCCCTTAGACTATGAGGCCTATCACTGTGAGGGCATGTGTGACTTCCCCCTCCGGTCTCACCTGGAGCCAACCAATCATGCCATCATACAAACTCTCATGAACTCCATGAACCCCAGAAACATGCCGCCCAGCTGTTGCGTCCCATCCAAACTCAGTCCCATCAGCATCCTGTACATCGACGCAGGAAATAACGTCGTATACATGCAGTATGAGGACATGGTGGTGGAGTCCTGCGGCTGCAGGTGATTGTGAATGTCTCACTTCCTGATCTGCCTTCAGAACACTAGTGGAAGCCTTAGCTGAAATGCTATACTGTAAATCACTTCTGGAAATACGATTTTGGACTGGAATCAAGCACAAAAACATTGTTACATCACTCTTAGTTCCATTTCACTGGTTCATTCCTACAACACATTCCTGCTTTATAGCTGTATTTTATGAACTGATATGTAAATTATTTTTTTTATTGTACAGGTACAAATTTAAATTTATGTTCAGTTACACTAAGTTATTTTCTCTAAGTGCCATCATTTATTCAGTAATAATGTTTCACACATATAATAAGCTATTTTAGTTTTTGTATCTACCTCATTGTACAAATTATGTTACTGTGTAAATGTTTTCCATTGAGAGATTAGCATCATGAAAGGTTTTGTAAATATTTTATTAAAAGTACGAACCACATTATTCCTTCGATAAAATACCACAAAATTAAATATATTTGTTAAATATTTCTTCTTGAATATTACCTTTTTGTTATTGCTTGTACAAGTACTGAACTGAATTACTATTAGATGCATAATAATAAAGAGTAATGAATGTTTTTAAAATATGAATATTTAATAATTGGACAAATAATTTTAATGTATACACTAACGTTCAAAAGGTTGGGGTCAGCAAGATTTTTTAAAAAGAATTTATTACTTTTATTCAGCAAGGACACATTAAATTGATTAAAATCGACAGTTATAATGTTACAAAAGATTCCTATTTTAAATCATTTCAAACAATTTCTATTCATTAAAAAATCCTGAAAAAATGTGTTATGATTTACACTAAAATATTAAGCAGCACAACTGTTTTTAACATTGATAATAATAATAAATGTTTCTTGAGCAGCAAATCAACATATTTGAATGATTTCTGAAGGATCATGTGACACTGAAGACTGGTGTGATGATACTGTGAATCAGTACATTATAATGAAAACAATACCTTAAAAAGGAAAAGAAGCATGTTTTTGCGATCAGATTTTTTAAACCGGTAAACTCCTGTAAACTTTTCAGTCCAAGGATCCAGTAAACCAATGCCTTCAAACAGTAGCCTAAGTTCAAAACAGCTACAGAGAAAACCCGACCGGTTTCATCAGAGATTGCTTAGTGTCAGGTCTAGAATTAATCTTTTCAGCGTGTATTTGGCGTTTTATAATGGACGCTGCTGCACTGCTGCCTGAAGTTGTTTTTTAGATTCTGAATGGGTACCGTCAGGTAGACTGTAGGAGTAGAGCTGCACAATTCTGGATAAATTGATCACGATTTTTTTTCTTTCTTTTTTTTTCTTTTTGGTATCAAATATGATTCTCCTACAGATAACTAAACAAAATAGCGTATGACATAGGTATTACAAGGAGAAGGTGACTTATGAGGACATTACCCCATGTCCCCATTTTTCAAAACGCTTATAAATCATACAGAGTGAGTTTTTTTGAGAAAGTAAAAATGCACAAAGTTTCCTGTAAGGGGTAGGTTTAGGTGTAGGGTTGGTGTACAGTATAAAAACCATTACACCTATGGAATGTCCCCACAATTCACAAAAACAAACGTGTGTGTATATATATATATATATAAATGCCATGAAAGCAATGTATACTGTCAAAAAAAAGAACTATCTATCTATATATCAAGAGAAATATCCCTTCACCCTGCTTTCATTTATGCCAGCCTGAGATACAAAGATCCAAGTAATTTGTGTACCTTCCCTGTACAGAGCTGAAGGGAGATAATTGCAGTGTTTAGTAAAGGTGAAAATGGGGTCAACAGACACTCAGCACAACCTTCCCTGGGTGGCCTGTGTGTCTGCGTGAATAGAGAGGAACACGTACACACACACAAACTCACATCTATTGGTAAACGGAGAAACAGTTGAACGGCTCTGACCCCGGTACCAAAGTTGCATTCATTCTCTGTCTGGGAAAAGACAATGACCAAAACCAAGGATGCTAACTTAAGATTAGGCTTGCTTTTACCCAGAGATCAAAGGTCAAGCATCTTTTTGTCTCTCGCCACTGTGCGCATTTAACACATCCAGTAAAGAGAGAGGAAGCAATCAATGCTTCAGAACAAGGGAAAGGAATGTGCGTGATGCTATTATACCAGTTCTCTGTCTCTTTGACACATTGTCAGTCCTCTCTCGCCCGTAAAACACATGAAGATATAAGACACACAGGCAATGAGCAGTGCCATGTTGCTGCTGGACAACAATGGACCGGAATGTCATGTGTCTCTAAAGGACATCTGTGGATGGACCGAAAGCTGTGAAGCAGTGATGGAAGCGGTGAATATTATCAAGTCACTCTCTACCATTCATCAATCAGCATTTTTTATTACAGTTGTAAAGGGATAGTTCACCCCAAAATGAGCACTGGCATTCTTTACTCGCCTTCATGTTGCTTCAAACCCTTATTGTTCTTCTATAGTGCAATTTTATTAGTAACTGAAGGGGTAACACTTTATAATAACTTTCATTAATAAATCATTAACAAACATTATATGATGATTAATGGATCATTAGTTAATATACATTCAAAGAGTTAGAAACATGAGATAATGTGCTTATTAATGTTTGCTAATAAACTTATTAAACATTAGATAATGTTCAAACAAATCATAATTTCATGTAAGTTAAAATGCTTACAAATGTCATTAAACTTTAAATTCCATATGATCAAGCACTTATTGAAAATCTACAAATGATTTTAACAGATGTTATAAAATGATTAAAAGGTTGTGTTAATGCACAACACTGGCTGCTATTGAGGTGTGATACGGGTAAGGTTAGGGACAGGTTTGGTGGTATGGGTAGGTTTAAGGGTTGGTTAAAGGGTCAACAGTGTACAAGGGTCAATTTGATTATTATAAGGGAACACGGTTCAATCTGTTTATATTATATTGTTTTGATAAATGAACAAGTATTTTCTTTTAAAAAATGATTTGTTTTCCCCTGTTTATTTATGATTCAATATCCTGTAATATACTAATGTGAGTGTTGAGGCAATAAAAACTTTTTTTTTTGCACCAAAATTACAATCCGTTGTCTTTAGCAAGCATTTAGCTAAACTTACCCAGGTGAAAAAGACGTAGTGTTAAATGTATTAAAAATATACTTGAAATTCAAGTAGTATGTTTATAATACATTTGTATTCCCAACATGCTTATTTGAAGTGCAATAAAAATATACTGAATTGCATTTTAATATATTTCTAAAAAGTATACTAGAAATACTTTTGTATTAAATATATGCTTAGTTATACTTCTAAGAAATATGCTAAACAGAAGCATACTTTTAATGTATTTATAAAAAGTATACTAGAAATACTTTGGTAATAAATATATGCTTAGTTACACTTTTAAGGAATATGCTAAACACAAGCACACTATTAGTATATTTCTAAAAAGTATAGTAGAAATACTATGTTAATAAATATATTTTTAGTTTCACTTTTAAGGAATATGCTAAACACAAGCATACTATTAGTGACTTTCTAGTGTATTTACAGAAAACATACTTATGTTACCATTACTTAAAGTATATTTTATGTCTACTTTGTGTAAGAACATAACATATTTTAAGAATTACACTTAAATTGCACTAAATATACTTAAAGTGGTTCCATTTTAACACAATTTCAATATATTAAATATATTACAAATAGATTAAAATCCAACTTAAACATATCTTGAAATACACAATATACTTAAAGTTGTTTCAAAATAATACATTGAATATGCACTTAGTATAGTATAATTTAAATATAGTAAGTATGTCTGAAAAAGCACAATTTAAATATATTTCTTTTTCACCTGGGTAACCAGCCACCCTTTACACAAACCTTGTTACATTAGCTAAAATTCCAGTGCCCATAAAGACACTAAATGATTAGCAATCGTAGATAAACATTTACAAATGATGAATATTTTCCACTTTAGATTGGCTACTGCAAAAACATGTCAATAACGAAGGCCTGAGGAAGACCTTAGGGTCGAAACGTTGTGATTTTAATAAACTTCGTTTTTGAGAGCAGTATTGGCAGTGTGCCAATTTTTGTTTATTGACAGTGAAGTGCTCCATGTGATCGAGCACCTGCCTAAAGTTTTTGGATGTGAGCATATTACACTTTGTTTACTGCAAAAACATGAACAAATGATTAATAAATGATTAGTAAAGATGTGTGAATAGGGTAGATTCAGGTCTTTCGGGACACTTTTTGCCATTGAGATGACTGCTCATAAAGGTATTAATGATTAGTAAACATTTATTAACATTTGCAAATGATGAATAGTTTTCACTTTAGATTGGGTACTGCAAAAACTTGAACAAATAATTAATAGATTATTTGTTAAGATGTGTAAATAGAGGTCTACACAACAAAGACCAACAAATGAAGATCATATGAACTGAAAGTTTACTGACATTTGTAAGCATTTTAATTTACATTAAATAATCTTATGTTAATCATTAGATAATGTTTAGTAAGTTCATTAGTTAACATTAATATTTCTAGCTATGTGAATATATAGTAACTAATGATCTTTTAAGCATAATGTTTGTTAATGATTTATAAATGAAAGTTATTAGTGTTACCCAATTATTTACCCCTTTTTTAACATAATAACAGTTTCATTCTTTTTTGTGTGACTTCTGGTGCTGCATTCAACACGTTTCAGGAAAAAAAAATCTATATAATAGCATAATGTAACTCAAAAAGATATTTATAATAAAAATATATATTTATTTTGTACCTTTCTAAAACGTACATTTCTAAAACGTAAATACTTTTACATTTTAGGTGCGGTCAATACATGTACACTAATATTTGTAAGTTTTAGAAAAGAAATTAATACTTGACATCAAAGACATCATTTCAAATATCTATTTCAAATAAACATTGCTCTATTCATCAGTGTATCCTGAAAAAATATTTCATGTTTGCTATTAAGCAGCACAACTGTTTTCAACATTGACAATAA